ACAGACCGCATATCATCACAAATTGAGTACCAACATTTCCCAGTACTATTGTGGGTAATTTCAAACCTCTATAAGCTGTCTTTGACCATTTCAACAGAGAAACCACTTTTGACTTTTGATAAGAGGATTTGGGAAGAGTTCAGTGCAATCATATCTTCGAAAATCTTGCTTTCATTTAGAACCAATTCTCCCAATTGGTTAATTGGCAAGATAGGATAGTTGGGCGAAGAGGAGCCATTAAGATTAAGGGGCCAAATGGTCCCATTACGGCTATCGGGTAAATTATATAGCCCATTAGGACACCCAAACTTTTAATTTGAGATCTACGAAAATTGCAACAATGCTCATGTAACTCGTCACGTCGGTGTGATGAGTTTTATGGAATATAATTTTTTTAATGGTCCGTGTAAGATGGGTCCCATAACCTAATTAAAAAATAAATTTCAAGAGGGACTCATCACACTGGCGTGACGAGTTCCAACGGCTATAATTTTCAATTTATTTTAATAATTTCAATGGAAATTTAACTGACTCAAAACTAAAGGAGTAGTATCGGTACCATTACTCAGAGTATCAGTATTACTAATCTAAGTAGTATCGATATCATATATGGTATCGGTACCATTCTAGCATCATGTTTTAACAGTATCGGTACTGCATCAGCAGTATCGATACTGCATCAACAGTATCGATACTATTACTCTAAGTAGTATCGATATTATATATGGAATCGATACCATTTTAGCATTCTGTTTTGATAATATCGGTACTGCCTAAGAAGTATCAGTACTACAACTCTAAGTATTATCGATATCATATATGATATCGGTACCAATTTAGCATTCTGTTTTGACAGTATCGATACCATAACTCAGAGTATCGATACTACTACTCTAACTAGTATCAATATCATATATGATATCGGTACCATTTTAGCATTTCGTTTTGACAGTATCGGTACTTCATCAACAGTATCGGTATTACTTCATTATTTTGGGTTTCAATATCGATATATGTATCGATACTTCTTTAACAGTATCGATACTATTATAGTAGTATCGGTACAACTATATTTAAAAACCATTTTTTACTCGATTAAAGTTCGAAACCCTTAGTAAAAATTATTTCAAAAACTTTTCAAGTATATGACTCAAATTTTCAACATAAATAATATCCAAAATATAGTGGGCTTGGTCATAAACATAATAAAAGTTAACATGGTAATTAAGAAATGTGAAATATGATAGGTTCAACGTATGATATTTGAAACGTCAACAAAAGAACAACCCGTGACTAGCAATTGCATTATCAAGCATCTGATGGTGAATCGAGATCCGAATGAGGTGCACGGAAAGATGCAACATCTTGAGAAAGAGTATCAAGCCTATAATTGACGGCATCGAATCGAGCATGGGTGTCGCGTTGCAGCTCGATCAGTTGAGTCCCCAAGGCAGTAAAATGGGACTTCATGGATGCAAACCTCAGATCCAATGTCTCCATCATCGATTGAAAATAGGGAGGCATCGCACTACTATAGCTAGATGGCTCATCATGGACACGATTTACAAGATCATCTACATCTTGTAAAACATCATCAATATGAGGAGAAGCCGGAGCTGGAGCTGCATGTGAAGAACTAGCATCGGATGTCTTTTTAGTTGATCGTTCCCAATTTGTACTAACTTGAGTCCATCCCGACTTGCAGAGAGACGTACAATCAATTTGGGTACCTAAAGGGATGGCAACATCGAGGTTGACTCTAAGATAGGCTTTGATGAATAAATTACTGAGAAGACAACCAAACACCAAAGACTCGACTCTCTTAGAGAGAATATGGTTTACGGTGTCCACTAGCTCACCGAAAATGATTTGAGCAAGATTAATTCTTTAATTATTTTGAAAATAGTGTAACCACTAAATATCGATACTTCGAAAAGAGGAGTATTTTCCTCCGGATGGTCAAAACCACCAAGAGATAATTAAGAGAAGAAAACGCTCGTGAAACTCAAGTATAGTATACTAGCACTATTTCCTACTTCTAAGGAAGAAGGGACAAAATCCCACTCATTATCTATCCCGATGTTTTCAAGACCAAAGGCACGAGCAATAGATTCAGAATCAATTGTAATGTATTCTCCCAAGAGATAGGAACAAATACTTTCAGTTTGAGTACGAGATTCATTTTGAATGCAAACCGCATTAGAATAGAAAATGCAGACAAGTTGGTGAAAGACAACGGGTTTTACTTTGAACGTGTTGTCAAATTTCCAATCTTGGAGAAGAGGTAGGTATTTGAAGTTCATCTCTTGTATTGCCTTATGAGAAGGAAGACGCTCACCCCTAATAGTGTAAGACTCAAAATGATTTAGGTATCGTGAATATAGATTTTGATGATTTGGTCCATTAAAATAAGAGTTTACGATTGTCATTTCAATTGGATTAGGAGGAGGATTTGACAGAGGGTTAGGAGGTGGATTAGAACGAGAGGATGATGATCTAGGACGTTTGTGAGACATTTTAACGAAAATCGGAATAAAGTTTATACCTGCAAGGATAAACAATACATATGTATGCAATCAATTAATCCCAAAACTCAATATGAGTCCACAATTCAAGGTATTCTATAACTAAAATATTATTAATAATAATAATATAATGGGCTAAAAAATAATGTGTTTTAAAAAAAATTATAAAAACTTTTATTAAAAACAAAAGTATATATATATAAACAAACGAAATATTATTATTTTAATTAAAAATTTTGAAATTAGAAGATTTTGTTGAAAAGTGTAGATCCTAGTGTAAAAATGCAAAATAAGTAAAGCTCATTCACTAATTTAAGCAAAAACTAACTAAAACTAGCCCTAGATTCGAAAAGAAAAAAAAATAGGGTTTTAAAAAAATTACCTTGAAAATTAGGATTGAGATGAAATTTAATGATGAATGCACTAATCTGATGATGCTAGCAGGTTCAAGAGTTGAAAAACAATGCAAATTCGACTTCAAAATGATGGAATGAGATAATATTGAGAGAGGTTTTTGAGAGAGGGTTTAGTGGTTGATTGTTGTTTTTAGAGTTTGGGGAAATAATTGTGATATCTTAGGGTTTTATAGGTTGAACTCGACGGGTTGTATCGGTACTTCAAAGAGAGTATCGATACTTCAAAGAAAAATCTGACTGGTATTGATACCTAGTATTGATACCCTATCGAGGCTGTAGTAATAGTATCGGCATTGGATGAACAATATCGATACTAAACAAGAATAATAACGATACTAAGCAAGAACAATATCGATACTAAATGAATAATATCGATATTGAGTGCCAAAATTCTAGAACCCCAAATTATCCGATTTATCCGATAACAAGATCCCTCCAATATGTATGCTTTATACTTATTATCCATACCATATAAACACTTAAAGTATATGCAAATGATTAAAGGTCAATAAATGAATTTGCTTTAAACATACCGCGAATACTCAATTCAATATTCAAATTCATCCAATTACAAGTTAAATAACGTCGAGTATTCACCCCTGCTATAGATCACTGTCGTCAAAACATAATAGTACTAGAAGAGATACCTCTCCCCTGTACCATCATTTAAAGATTTTAAGAGTTTGTTTCTAAATTATTTAAAAGAAGTTTATAAAACGTTGTTAGTTGAATAATTAATAGAATGTTTAATTATCAATATATTTTTTTTTCAAAACTGTGTTCGATTTTATGGGATAGTTCAATTGACTATCCAACGGAAAATAATTTATAATTTTTTTTTTTGAAATTTATGATGATCGACAATGAAACAACTTAAGCAGGTAGTAGTGTAGTACTCGCCAAGATAGTAGTACAAATTTAAAAAAAGTTGGATATTGTAATGGGTGAATACTCAACTATCTTAACTCATCCCCAGTCTTGCGTTAAAATCCATTTGTTTCTGTTATAGTTGTCGTACTAGTCTTTCAAGCATTTATGCAAAACTACGATTTATAATCGGACATGAACAAAAAGACAATGTCCAAGACAAAATTACATTCTCCTAGGCAACTTTCAGGAATAAATTAAATAATTAAAGCTATTACCCTAGCTGCCCTTTTATTCATCACCATCATACCATTTTAAATTCCAAACCCCCCGCCACCAAAAAATAAAAAAGACATAAATAGAACATTAAATTTTATTAAATTCATAACACGCTATATATCAGGTATCATATAGCATTCCGAAAACGCGATAACAGTCGTGATATTGTGGTCGCGCCACCGTCCAAAATCGGTTTTCATAGTTTTTACGGTGGGTCACGGATTCACACTAATCTCAGTCGATTGTGCCCACAATTTAACGGGAAACGAACGATTGTGCCGATAACGAGACGCAACAACCGTTATCCAACCGTGATTCCAAAACAAAAACATTGGTGGTGTAGTTTTTTTCCCAGACAATGAGGGGGGAGGAGGAAGGGGGAGGCAAAAGGCGGGGAGGAGGCAGAAAGCCAAAACCATTTTTGTTTTAGACAATTATGGGGAGGAGCCAGAACTAGAAAGGTGGGGAGGGGTGGGGAGGGGAGGGTGATTTATTATTATTATTTTAATTACTTTAAAAATATAATTTTAAAGGATATGTTAATTTGAGAATCTTTCTACTTTTAGAATTTAGAATTTAATCCTTATTTTAAAATGTAAACTTTAATTTTTATTTAATTTAGTATTAATTTCAGTAATCTAAATTTATGCCATTTAAATTTTATAATTTATTTTAATTATATTTAATTTAGTCATTTTAGAGTAACTTGTACGACATTTAAAAAAAATTTACGACTGTGAAACTTGCAATAACATCTGTTATGTCAACAACCGTGATAAATGCGACGTGACCGAAAACGTGACCGTAAACGCTATTTAAAACCCTGCTATATATATAATAAGAGTAGATGAACAAGAGCTCCTAATTTTGGTTATCAGCTAGTTCAAATCCACGTGATCAAGCTCTAAAGATTGAAATCTCTTTTGTTTATTTAATTAATTATGTTTTCCTCACACCTTAATTTTCTCACTCACTCTTACAGTTCAGACATTTATGATCTAGCTAGCTACTACATAGTACACTCCAACATTATTAAAACCTAAGAGAACAACAATATATATAACAATAGCTGGTGGAGAGAATTTTCAGCCGTGAACAAGTCCATACGATAAGGCCATCAGCAGGATCGCGGCTTCTTTCTCGTCCTGAGGAAAAACTCGATGAAAAGCTGAATTCTTGCTCAAGATTATCCTTAAATCCTCGAAACACAGTTTGTTTCTGCTTTGGGATTGAGGATTAAGTTTGCACTTTTTATCCTTGAAATGTGGAACACAATCGTCGCTTGATCTCTTTGCCTTATGTTGAACCTTACTCTTCATACATGCCGTTGTCGTTGTCTCAGCAGCAACAGCAGTGCTGCCAGTTGTCGCTGCTGCAGCAGCAGCAGCCATGTCTCTTCTCGCTTTTCTTTGTCTAATTCCACAGGCGTTGCAAAGCGACTGCAGCAGAAAGGTCAAATTCAAAAAAGGTCAATTAATTATCTTAAACAACAGGTATAGTACTTGACTTTATACTCTTTAAGCTCACTTTTAGGGCAAGGGTTTTGTGAGAGAGAGAGAGAGAGAGAGAGAGGAAATTTAGTACCTTGGGGCCTCCAGGTCCACTCCTCCAAAGAGGAGTCTTGGTTGTGTTACAATCAGCACAAACCCTAATTGTGCTGCTGCTGCTGCTGCTGTTATATGAGTTGCCGCTGTGATCCGTACACGATGATGACTGCTGCTGCTTGTGTTGATCTTTGGATTTCAGCTCAGAATTATTCGATATATCGACATGATCCGAGTTCATCATCTTCCTTAAGATCCTCACCTTCGAAGGCATCCAGTTCGCAGAACAAAAATTCTCATTACTTTGATGAGTTCCAACCTTTTCTTCTTCTTCTTTCCATATTGATAACTTGAGCTCACAATCAGTCTTCAATGGTCCATCTTCCGGAACATATACTTTTTCCTGAAGCAACAAAAAAAATGCAAGTGATCCATAATTATTTACCCTAAAAAAGCTAAAGGAACTCAAAGGAAACAAAATAGAAAAAAGTTAAAACCCTAAGTTTATCAAAGATGGATAACATGAAAAGGTGAAAGTAGTGATGAATATGTACCTCTTCTAGATCACGGAACTGCTGCTGAACATTATATACGTCTACGTTGAGGTCAATAGGAAAAGGATAAAGAGTTGAATAGCAATTACTAGAAGACATGGGGAAATATCAGCTAAGGAAGATGGAGCAACCAAGTGATGCGCTTGGCGTGCGTCGTCGTCCAGTAAAGGTGGAGAGATGTACGTATGTTTATTGAGATTAGGGAGGGGATGAATGATTGAGAGGAAAAGGCAAAAGAGGGCCTACGCCATGGCATCGAGTGGCAAAATCCCTTATAAAGGACGATCGAAAAGGGCAAATAAGAGGTTCACGTGACTTTACATAAATGAATGATAGCCAAATACAAAAAGTTAAAAAGAGAACAAAGCATAATGTGAAGTCTTGATCTTGGATACTATGCTACTGTGCTGCTCCACCCTATTCAAGAAATGAAAAAGAAACCCTATCTGCAGATTTTACCCCCACTTTAAATAATTCCAAAAACCTCGAGATAGACTTCATTTCATTGTAGCCACACAAATTAATTAATCAAGCAATGAAATTAACTCTGGTCTCCACATATTTCTTATTTTTTATTAATTAGGAGTAATACTTAATTTTAATAAATTACCAATGAATTATACTAATAATGAGAGAATTTATCTTTAACTCATTGGAGACGACATGATTAATAGAAATAATCATAAAATTTTAAATATTACTAATATTAAGAAGAACAATAAAGACATATGCATAATTTTTTTATTAACATCACAAAACACGTGATGAAACTATCAAAAAAGGAGATTAATCATTCATATATAATGGTGAATAGTATCAAACTAAGACTTGCCTTTTTTTTAGTCTTGCTGGTGTCCCCTGTTGAGGATCCTCTACCATAATCTACGGCTTTCCATATATAATCATTGACCCTCAATTATAGGAGCTTATTTAGCTTATTCTTTATATTTATTTTGTAATCATATCTTTATTGTAATTAAGTTATACACTATGTAATTGAATTTATATATGCAATTTCTCACCACTAACAAATGTGGTGGTTTCACATAATATTCTCATGGTATAAAGAGTCTAATTGGATTAGCATCCCACGATCCTCAATGGCTGATTCCTCTTCCGATTCTTCTCCCACCCTCCTTCCCTTCAACACCATGATCCACATGGTTACCATCAAGCTTTCCTCATCAAACTATCTTCTATTGAAGAGCCAACTCCTTCCCCTCCTTGAAAGCCAAGGTTTATTGGGTCAAGTCGATGGCACCCTTATGCCAAAGCAACCGACCAAAGCCTCCTTAGTCTTCTCCTCTCCTCCCTTATCGAGGAAGCAATGGCTGAAGCCATTGGCCTCTCTACATCCCGTGAGGTCTGGACTGCCCTCGAAAATACCTTCAGCCACTGCTCCAAAGCCCGTGAACTTCGTCTCAAAGATGACCTCCAATTGATGAAACACGACACTCGTTCTGTTACTGCCTATGCCCGTGCTTTCAAAACTTTGTGTGATCAACTACATGCAATCGGTCGTCCGGTTGATGGAACCGATAAAGTCCATTGGTTCTTGCGTGGTCTCGGTCCCGATTTCTCTAGCTTCTCCACTGCCCAGATGGCACAAACCCCCTCCCCTATTTTTTGATCTTGTGTCTAAAGCAGAGAGTTTTGAAAATTTTCAAAAATCTCTAGAGACTCTGGCGTCCTCAACTGCTGTGTTTACTACTACCCGAAACACTTTTCATCATGGAGGTGGTTCTCGCCCATGCCATGGCCGTGGAAATGACCAGCGCAACAACTCCAATCACGGACAGAGTCGAACCAACGCCACCCATGGTCGCCGTCCACCACGCTGCCAGATTTGCCGGAAGGAATGACACTTTGCTGATCGGTGTAGGAACGGTATGATTGGCCTGAATCCACGGCACACCTTGCAGTGGATTTTACCTCTTCCTGCTATTTATTCGAAAGTGAGGCTTTTGATTGGTTTTTGGATATAGGGGCTTCGGCCCACATGACTCCAACCCACTCCACTTTGGATCAGTCTTCCACCTACACGGGTAAGGATTCTGTAATTGTAGGGAATGGTGCGTCCCTACCCATTACCCACACCTGTAAAATTTCCCCTCTCCCGGATATTCAATTGTTGGATGTTTTGGTTGTTCCCCATCTCCCTAAAAATCTTTTGTCCATTAGTAAATTAACTAATGATTTTCCCTTATCCGTTACTTTTACTAATGATTTTTTTACTGTTCAGAATTGCCAAACGGGAAAGGTGGTGGCAACCGGTAAACGTGATGGCGGCTTATATGTGCTAGAGCGCGGAAATTCCACTTTTATTTCTGTCCTTAAAAATAAATCTCTTCATGCTTCGTATGATTTATGGCATGCTTGTTTGGGTCATGTGAATCATTCTGTTATTTCTTTATTGGATAAAAAAGGACAGTTTTATCTTACCTCTTTATTGCCATCTCCTAAATTATGCGATACATGCCAGCTTGCAAAAAGTCATCGTTTGCCTTATTCTCGTAATGAAAATAGGTCGTCCAATGTGTTAGATCTTATTCACTGCGACATATGGGGTCCTTCACCAGTAAAATACAATTTGGGTTTTGTTTACTATGTTTTATTTATCGATGATTATTTTCGCTTCACTTGGCTTTATCCATTGAAATTTAAATCAAACTTCTATGCTACTTTTATTCAATTTCAAAAATTTGTGGAAAATCAATATTCTGCTCGTATCAAAATTTTTCAAAGTGATGGTGGTGCAGAATTTACTAGTAACTGCTTTAAAACACACCTTCGTATGGCATTCATCATCAACTATCTTGTCCATATACTCCCGCTCAAAACGGTCGCGCTGAACGGAAACATCGTCATGTGACTGAAGCTTAGCGAGTACGAAGACAAATATATATATATATATATATTGTAGTTTTTGCTTAATAAATACTAGTAAAAAGAATAGAAACAAGGCAGATAATGATCCATGATTCAGTTAGGTATTGTAAAAAGCATTATGTATATCTCAGACTCAGATGCACACAGGTAAAGTATATCTCTCTAATTAGGGAATTGTGGTTTTTTTGGCTAAATATTAGGTATGTTTAAGGAGAATTGGAGGACGGTGCATCTATACATATATATAATGCGAGAAGAGAAGGGCTAGAGTTTTCCATGGGAAAGATAAAAATATCTCCATTCTTAACTACCTTAGTGTTGCCAAAAAACATTGAATGCTTAAAGCAGGCAAGAGACAAATGCAGCACCCCACAGCTTTACCATCATTCTATGTATAATATACATAAATCTTGCACATATTCTTTTACTATAGTGAATCATGTTTCATCTTTGCATTTTTTACTCTTTTTAGGAAAAATGAGAAAACTCTGAATTTGAACACTATGGGGAACGGAGGAGGAGGATATGAAAAAACAATTAAAAAAGGCTGAGCCAGGAAAGGAACAACACAAAAGAAAAAGATGGTTCTACCCGTGGCTATCGTTAATACGGATGCCATCTCAAAACACGATTTTGATCTTTTCAGTGGTTTTGAGAGTCAACGAATTCTTCGAATTATTCTAAGCAGATCACATGATTTCAGTATTAACCATCTTGTTCAGCTGGTAAATTGACACGTCTGTATTAACCATCTTGTTCAGCTGGTAAATTGACACGACTTCATTCATCATGACAAGATTACTGACGTAATTAACCATATGAGTTAACAACTTAAAGTAGGGTTTCATTTCAATTTATTGATTTCTTTAAGCTTATAGCCTGTTTTATTAAACTGGAATAGCGATAAAAAAATAGGGCCAACAAAA